AATAATCAATATTACCCAATTCCTAGTCATTTTGTTAATAAATTTAATATGCTCGCTTATATATTTAAAAAATTTGATCAACATAAAACCGGAAGAATCACTATTGATTATTTCATGTATATCATCAAAAAAGTTCTTGTTAATGATATAGTACAAGCACATATATTAAAGAGTTTATCTGGCGTAAAAGACGTTTGTTATGAAGGTACGTATCAATTTTTACTTAGACATTTTCATTACATGATTTAACTAACATAATTTATTTTATATTAGCATGGTTATTGAAAAAAAGAAAAGATGTGTATGAAAGCCAATATGGTCTGAAAGGCTTATATATGAAATTTATAACTTCGATAGCATAGAAAAAAAAGTTTTTAATTTATATAAAAGTACTTGTTTTTTAAAATAAATCATATAATTACCAAATACTTTTACATTTCTTAATAAAATATATAATAAAACAAAAACAAAAATTATCAACTGTATACATAGAATTATAACTACTTAGGTTACATGAATGAATACTTAAATTATATTTTAATCACTTGTTGGAATTATCAAAAATAGGTTAAGAAAATAAAAAATATTTTTAATTAAAGAATCAGAATACAAATACGTTTTTCAATTAAAAGTGTCATTCATTCTTAAAATTTTGATCACTGTATACTTTGCCAAATTTATCAATTTATATAAAATTTACCGTATTGTTCACTCAGCCGAAAATTATTTTAATTACTTGTTAGATTTATCAAAAATAGGTTAAAATATGTTCGATCTACGTATGCGCGCTGACAAGTCGCCGGCTTACAAGAAAAATTATTATAAAAACGATACAGTCATAGTGGACATCATATATGATCTACTNAACGATACAGTCATAGTGGACATCATATATGATCTACTATAGTAGATTTTAATATTCGCATTTATTATTATTTTATTTATTTATTATATGTATTGAACGAGTTCGCAACATTTGGTCCATCGAGCCGCATCGATAAATTAGTATATAATTTAAAT